TGGTTTTAAAGGTGTGGGCAACCACTGTCTAGTTTCTATAGCTAACTAGTGAGACTGGCTTTACAAACTGATCTTCAGTAGCTTTATTATTATCCCATAAACAATATATCACCACAACAGTGCGCAGTGGGATTGTCCAGTGTGAACATATTTATATGTTTATTCATTCATTTGTTTATTTATTTACTATTTTTAGTAACTCACATCAACACCAACACGTTGTATAAACAGGACCCAGTGACAAGAAAACTCAATTTGCTTCTCATCTGACCTGATTCCTCTCACATATATGAGCATTCTTAGGATGAGAATTGGTTGCAATATCTTGCCAACACAATTCATGATTATTCTTCCTTACCTGCTGGGCTTTTTCCCAAATGTCAAATGAATCTCAGGAAGTGTCTTTTGAACCAAGTAAAGGTATACAAAAATTTCTTTACCTCAAAGGCCTAGTGACCCCTGCTACTTTTTTTTTTTTTTTTTTTTTTTTTGATGAAACAGTAGTGTCAACGCCATCATGAATTCTATTTTCCAAACATAAACCAGTGTCAGATTAGAAAGGAAAGAAAGTTTCCCTTATCTGAGAATCTGTGGAAGCATCAACAGAAAGACTAAGATTGACATAGCTTTTGGGTTACTGTTAGATATAAACTGGAAAGACCCATGCAGCTTTCATAGAAGTATTTCATATGGTACAGAATGGATTTCTCAAGAATAGACAAAGCCTTTCATCCTCCCCTGAACTCCATATTATGGCTGTTTTTGTGCATCTCAGTCACACAAGATTCCTAGGACAACCTCCTAACATGTATAGGTTAGCTGAGAGAGTACAAACCTGCCGACACACATTTCAAAGCAATCCCTATATGGGAGTGAGATCATTCAATTGGAGAACATGTTCTGTCAAAATAAACACAGAGGGACATAGTCCAGTATTACATCAAGTTCATAACATCAACAACATTACTAAATACATTTGTCATGAGAGAGAATAAGAGAATAAAGGAAATCCAAATAAAGTAGTGTCCAGTAAGGGTGTTTCTTGAATGTATTCAGAGTTTAGTCCTCTCAGGTAACCTCATTTAAGGCCCAAGAGACCATATCATATGGCGGGTAGAACCTCGACTAGAAGGATACGAGAACAGTTCACAGAATCTCCTGGGAATGCTAACAATAACAAAAATGATCAAGATCAAAGGCCCTGTCAATCACCATGAGGACTCTTTTACTCATGGTACAATGACTTCCTCTATGGAAAACAAGGAACTTTCAATCTTGTCTCACAAAGAGGCAATTTCAAAGACCTTCATGCGGAGATTCAACCCCAATAGGACAGAGTGTATTAATCCAGGGAGCAAGAATGTCAGGAAAGGTGGAGGGACAATAGAGCATGGCCCTAGAGTGGAGGCTCTAGACTTATCTCCACATTTGGAACTCACAAACATGGTTCCTTCAGTACATTGAAGATGTTTAAAAATAGTGACCTGATGTACAGGTGTGTTACTTTCAACACAACCATCACCAGATTAGCAATAACTACAAGCAAAAAGATTTAAATTTTAAGAAGTTATTTATAAAAAATTAATAGTGTATATAATTTCGTACCATTGTTTTTCAACATGGGTTAACAGACATCAGTCACACTGCAAGAAAAGAACACTAAAATACACCCTTGAAAACTATATCTTCAGTTTCACATCTGGACCCAATATTCATGAAACTGCTATTCATACATTATAAACAATGTATTATAATTCCTTCTGTTGATCTAAAATCCAAAGTGTTGTCTCTGGTACAAAAAGAAACATAACAAAATAAGACTTTGAATTGTATCATTAATATTTAACAAATAAAGGTAATTTTTGTTTCTCTCCACTGCTCCAGGCATTCATGTTTAGTATCTGCACCACAAAATAATTCTTCTGCAGAAAATGTAAAACTTTCTCTCTCTGATCATCTTGAAAACCAGGATAGCCCTGACTCCATAGCTCAGCCCAAGGAGCCCATACCTGGATTCCCAGGTCTTCCCATCCAGTGACAGTACTGAATAAACAACAATAACCAAGGAGCTGGCTGTAGGGAGATTTTACTGCTGCTTTCACAATGTTTATTGAAAATACTTTTTAAATAAAATTAGAAAGAAGTTTGGTTTACATGTCATCCCCAGTTCCCTCTACCTCCCATTCTTCCCTGCCTCCCACCAATCTCTGATCTGTCACCTCTCTTCTTCCCAGGATATGGTGAGGCCTTCCATATGGGGTCTTGAAAGTCTGTCAAATTATTTGGAGCAGGACCTAGGCCCTCCCCTGTGTGTCTAGGCTGAGAGTGTATCCCTTTATGAGGAATGGGCTCCCAAACTCCATTAGTACACTAGGGATAAATACTGCTCCACTATCAGAGCATACATTTCCCAGGCCTCCTAACTGACACCCACATACAGGGGGGTTGGTTCGGTCTTATGCTTAACTCCAGCTATCAGTCTGGGGTCCATGAGCTCCCTTTTCTTCAGGTCAGCTGTTTCTGTGGGCTTCTCAAGCCTGATCTTGATTCCCTTCTTCATCACTGCTTTCTCTGTGCAAGTGGATTCCAGGAGTTTGACTCAGTGGTTAGGTGGGTGTCTGCTTCTGCTTCCATCAGCTACTAGATGAAGGATGTCATATAAGGTAGTCATCAATCTCATTATTAGGGAAGGCCATTTAAGGTAGCCTCTCCACTATTGCTTAGAATGTTATTTGGGGTCATCATTGTGGATCTTTGAATACTTCTCTAGTGCCAGATTTGTTGTTAAACCTGTAATGGCTCCCTCTATTGTGGTATCGCTTTTCTTATTCTTCTCTATTCTTCCCCTTACTCAATATTCCTGCTCTGCCATGTCCTCCTCTCCCCTCCTCTTTCCCCCTTATCTTTCTCCTAACTCACTCTGTACCCCCATGCTTCTCTGATGGTTTGTGTTGTAGGCAGGTAATCCTTTGCTCTATGCCTAAAATCCATATATGAATGAGTACATACCATGTATGTCTTTTTGTGACTGGGTTACTTCACTCAGGATGGTTTCTTTTACTTACATCCTTTGCCAATATTTTTGAGGGTGTCTTAAACTGAGTACTGAACCCATCAATGTCCCCACTCAAATTCTCCCATTTGCTACTCCCATTCCCTCTAAGATTCACGACTACCTTAATTTTAGTTAAGGTTTACGGTTTAAGGTTTAAGGTTGTCCTCTGTCTCTATGTCTATGTGACTCTCTCTTTTAATTCTCCTCTCTCTCTCTCTCTCTCTCTCTCTCTCTCTCTCTCTCTCTCTGTGTGTGTGTGTGTGTATGTGTGTGTGTATTTGGGTGTGCATATGTGACATACTGACCTCAGACATTTTTCTGTACATGTGCAGTCTCCTGGAATTGAGAAACCCATCAGAGAGTTTGTGTTTGAAAATAACTATTTCTCCCTCTCTCAATAGTCACTGTTTACATGTTCCTCTTCATTTTTGGGTGGGAGCCTGAGATATTTCCTCTTATGCTATGCACATCTATTTAAGGCAGCAATGTTATCATGATTTTAAGGTCCAGCATTCCTGTACTGTCTGGAAGATGCCATCTCATGGTGGCTCCTGATCCTATAGATTTTACCCTCTTTCTGTCCCCTGTTCAGGATGTTTCCTGATCCTTCAGTTCAGGGTTGGCATTGTAGATGTACCCAGTGTAGTAGGGCATCACGTGTTCTCTGCATATTTACCCAACATGGATCTCTTCAAATTGAAAAAATAAAATCTTCCTTAATGTGGGTGCTAGAAATTTTATCTGAGGAAATAAGGGTAAGCTTTCATAACACAGTTATAGACTGCATGCATGTCTTTTGGATAAGACAGAATTGTTGGTAAAACAGGGTTTGTAGCTAAGTTGTAGTTTCCCTTTAACTTTGGTATCATGTAGGCCAATAACTTTTGTTGTCACAACCAATATATTATATTTTCAGACTATCTCCATGAGATAATACTTATTCCTGACACTTCTCATGTTGCTGAGAACCTGTAGATAGGCCTGAAATCTAGAGGGAATATCAAATACTACCATTCTTCCAAAGAAGACTTTGGGAGGTAAGATATGAAAAAGCCTCCCTGTCTGTCAGCACCGAGAAGCAAGAAGCTTGAGGATTTGGAAACCTACATTCTAAGTAAGAACAGAATCTGCCCAGCAGTTCAGAGAAGCAAGACCTGGGACAGGTCACCTAAGCTGTGGGAAGGAGCAGATAAACCCAAATATAATGGCATGGGGAGCAAGGTCAGAGGAAGACAGAATACTGTGGAGCAGAAACAGATGTACTACCTCATGGTGCAGCCCAGGCAAGTCTGCCAAGGTCCAAGTGGATCTTTTCTGGGATAAAGAGCAGTCCTGGCTGATGGTGAGAGGAATATAAGTCACTGAAGAACCAGAGACCAGACGGATGTGGCTGGAAGGAAAGAGTCCCACTGGGTGTTTTTTGGGGGGGAGAGGGAGTCACAGAAGAGATGGTTGCTGAGTTGTCTGGGCAGTGTCTGTCCTGTGTGTGTCTGTTGTGGATTCTCAGATCCTGATCTGGCTGCCTTTGCATGATCAGGGTTCTTCTTAGATAAGTGTCTAGTGTGGCTCCAGAAGGAGGTAGAGGACATCTGGTTGCTGACAGACATGATTTTTATTTCCATTAGTTTCAGTGGTCAGTGCTACAGCTTCAGACTAAAAATCTCTGGAGTGCTTAGGCCCTGGTGTTCGAGAAACAGAATTAGCACAGACCTTATGGAAGGGTTATAAGAGGTGTTTCCTCAAACAGAGTTGGGATTAGGTCCTCAGCAATCAGTTGCCTCACTCAGGTGTCCTCTACCTCCTTCTGGAGCCACACTGGACACTTATCTAAGAAGAACCCTGATCATGAATATGCAAATCCTGTGCTTCTAAGGTGTTAAAAACAGGGACAGAAATGTTCACATCACCAATAACATACAATCAGTGTCCTATCCACAGTCACTGAGTGCATAGGTCCTCAACATGAGATGGAGCTGGATCATCCTCTTCCTGGTGACAGCAGCCACAGGTAAGGGCTCCAAGTTCCAGGCTTGAGGAGGGGCCATGTACTCAGGTGACAGTGACATCCACTCTGCCTTTCTCTCCACAGGTGTCCACTCTGAGATCCAGCTGCAGCAGTCTGGGGCTGAGCTGGTGAAGCCTGATTCCTCAGTGAAGCTGTCCTGCAAGGCTTCAGGCTACACCTTCAGTAGCTATATTATGCACTGGATGAAGCAGAAGCCTGGGCAGGGCCTGGAGTGGGTTGGATATGTTTATCCTGGAAATGGTGGTACTAAATATGCCGAGAATTTCAAGGGCAAGGTCACACTGACTGCAGACACATCCTCCAGCATAGCCTACATGGAGCTCAGCAGCCTGACATCTGAGGACTCTGCAGTCTATTACTGTGCAACACACGGTGTTGCAGCCACATCCTGAATGTGTCAGAAACCCTGGAGGAGCAGGAAGCTGAGATGACAGAGAAGAGCAGCCTGGAGACTTGCTCAGAAATAAGCAATCTGAGTGTCACATTTTCTGTCACTTCACACAGCCCTACCAAATTCTCAAAATTACAACTCTGCACGAAGTAATGCTGACTTACAATGTCCTAATGTTCACTATATCTTGACAATCCCTTCACCACTGACCAACTCTATTGACACTTTTCTTCATTAATGAAAAAATAAAAGTGAAATGTGTGATTATGCATTATGGTAAAAATATTGCTGGATTCTATGAGACTGAAACTTTTGTTGGTAAAGCTTTTAATAAAGTAAAATATGAATTTGTTCACTAATGTCCAAATAACAAATCTGGACAAAGAAAAACTTGTCATATTCTGAAATTTTACATGACATCAGGAGTATCATTAACTTTACCTATGTGGTTCAGCAGAAGTTCCAGTCTCTTAGAATGTGAGACAAGTATCAAAATGCACTGCCACTCAAGCAAAAATCCTGTGAAGTTTTCAAGAATATTATTAAATTATAGATTTCTGCACTGAAGCCATCTATCCCTGGGATATTTTTTTGGGGGGGGCTGGGAGGCTTTTGATGACTGCTTCTATTTCATTAGGAGTTATAGGTCTATTTAAGTTGTTTATCTGTTCTTGATTTAATTTTGGTAAGTGATAGTTATCCATAAATTTGTCCATTTCCTTTGAATTTTCAAATTTTGTGGAGCACAGGTTTTCAAAGTATGATCTGAAAATTGACTGGATTTCCTCTGTGTCCATTGGTATATCCCCCTTTTAATTTCTGATTTTGTTAATTTGCATGTTCTCTCTCTGCTTTTTGGTTAGTTTGGATAAAGTTTTGTCTATCTTGTTGTTTTTCTCAAACAAACAACTCTTTGTTGCATTGATTTTTTTTGTATTGTTTTCCTGGTTTCTATTTTATTGATTTCAGCACTCTAATTGATTATTTCCTGGCATCTATTCCTCTGGGGTGAGTTTGCTTCTTTTTGTTCTATGGCTTTCAGTTGTTACTGTTAATTCTCTAATGTGATGATTATCTGTTTTCTTCATATGAGCACTTAGTGCAATGATCTTCCCTCTTATCATTACATTCAAGTTTTCCCATCAGTTCGGGTATGTTGTGTCCTCATGAATGATAATTTCTTTCTTTGTTTCTTCTTTGACCCAGATATGGTGAAATTGTGCATTGTTCACTTTCCATGAATTTGTAGGAACTCTTCAATTGTGTTGTTGAATTCCAACTTTAAAGCATGGTGGTATGATAAGATACAGGGGACTATTCCAATGTTTATGTATCTGTTGCAGTTTGTTATGTCGCCTAGCATGTGGTCCATTTTAGAATGTTCCATGTGGAGCATAGATGAACATACATTATTTTGTGTTTGGATGGAATATTCTATAGATGTCTGTTAGAACACCACAATTTTATGTCATCCATGAACAAGGCAGGTGAAACTCAACATCAGTATTCCTCATTAGAAATGAACTTCTCTCTTCTAAAGAGAGAGTTTCCCTGTATTCAAGAACCAGCAGTCCTTGCATCTCTGACCCTCTGGCCCCTTCACACAAACTTTTAGCCTTTGCCTCTGTATCATCCATTCCAGGATCTTTTCCTTTTGATTAGGATATGTGTGACGATCTTGGAATCTTACAGAACTGTGTCAGATATTCTCCAATTTTGAGAAACATGATTTAATCACAGATCAAAAAACAGTTTAATGTTAATCAGCCCCTGGACAGGTAACCCAATTGTTAACACAGCTCTTATGGCCCATCACAAGCTAAGGTTCAGTGCCTCACTTGCTCTGAGCATTCTGGGTTTGTTTGTCTTTCTAGTGTCTCTACCTTAGAATGTCATCATGGATCATGGTTTGCAAAAATCTTGACATGTTTATCTTCCAAAGGTTTTTAAATATGAAGATATTTTAAGCCCAAATGTGACCTTTCTGTGTACCCATGTTTGATAAAATCAGAAGTTCATTGGAACTTTTTTTTCTGTGTATTTAGTCATGTTCACGCCAATATGTAAGTGGGTAAATGTGTAAGTCAATGTGCAATTGTCCAAAGTCAGGAAAACAACCCATATCTCTGTGGTATTTTTAAAAACTTCAAAATTCATAAGAAAATATGCTTTAACATCTCTGATAGCTCTGAAGAAAATTCCAAAACCTCTTATGCCCTGCTCCCAATATCCTCTGCTCACTCAGCAGTCTTCTGTAATATCTGTGAATATTGAGTAAACCACCTTAGTCTGCTTAGAGTTTATGGTTTCCATTGTTCTTTTAAGAGTTGTCAGAAGGCAATATAAAGAAGAAGCTATCGATGTAGAATAAATAGAAATCTTAAACATGCTACACAAGACATTGCAGATAAGTAAATACAATGCAATATCATTTTCTTCCATGGAATTTCAGATTTCATAATTGCCAACTGGTAAATGGCAGTACCTTTATGCTGTCTAAGAGATCAATAATTACTTTGCCATTTTGTGAGATCGTCGTGACAGAACTCACACAGGAATCCTTCTCTAGTCCCAGGAAGAGAACATCATGAACCTCCCCAAAATATCCCATGTGCCTCATCACAGACTGGATGACTTAAGTCCACAAACAGAGTCAGCTTCTGGTGAGGGAATGCAAATCTCTCTAGGCTCCACCCATGCATAGGTTGCAAAGAGAGTGTTTGACTACAGCACTCACTGGTGTGCAGCCATGGCCCTGTTTGCTTCCTCAGTCCTGCTGCTGATTGTGCCTGCATGTGAGTGCCAAGGATTCCTACTGGATGAACTCCCATAATTCACTCTGTGCCAACCTTACCTTCTACTCTTTCCTCTCCACAGATGTCCTGTCCCAGGTTACCCTGAAGGAGTCTGGCCCTGAGCTGTTGCAGCCTTCCCAGGACCTCAGTCTGACCTGAAAATTTTCTGAGTTTTCACTGAGCATTTCTGGTGTGGGTGTGGGCTGTATCCACCATCCCTCAGGGAAGGGCCTGGAGTGGCTGGCACACATACTATGGGATGATGATAAGAGGTACAACCTCTCCCTGAATAGCAGGCTCACAATCTCCAAGGATACCTCCAACCACCAGGTTTTCCTCAAGATCACCAGTGTGGACACTGTAGATACTGCCTCACACTCCTGTGCTCAGGGAGCACAGACACACAGCCTCAGCTGGCAGGTGTACCATATTTTAGGGTTGTACTCATCTGTTTCTTCCTAATGCCTTGCAGGAGGGTGGAGGATATGGCACAGTTTTCCTGCTAGCTTCTGGGGTTTCCTCTTCACTTTGAGGTTCAGTGCCTGGGTTTCCTGTCACATGCCCTAGGTCCCTGTTTAGATAATTAGAAAAAAGGGTCTGCCTATGTTTGGGTTTATTACAATTAACAGTGCCTGGTCCTTAAATCAGGTGGTTCAGAGCTTGGGTCCACTGAATCTTTAACTTCTATCTCTACAGCAGATTCAATTTATTGTAATATACACCTTCATTAATGAACTGGATAAAATGAAGATGGGTATTCTGGATATTCTCATTCTCAAGTTGAGTCATTGGTCAAAGAGTCCCCATGAAAACTCACAAATATTTTACGGTATAACTGGTTGCTCCCTACAAACTTATGATAGCACCCTATCATTTAAGTCACTACTTACATATTTCATTGAACAAAATGAAGTTGAGCTTGAAGCCAAGTAAAAAACTTCACCTCTCCTGCCTCGCATTCTTAGTATTGAATGAATTGGCATGCTATTGGAGGACAAAGGTGTTTCTTCTTACAATTGGAGGGAAGTTAACAGAGAACCACAGATGAACACTATGTATAGAGTGTGAGACTTGGAAGCACTCAGTTCTAAAGGGGTGATCTTCATCAAACCTTCATCTTAGGACTGAGGAACCAATGTAGATTAGGAGGTGGAATGATTTCAGAAGCTAGAGGTTATGGAGAATTGCAAAGAAATTTTCTCCTCTGGACACAAATAGGACTGGTGGACATATCAACTCAGAGAGACTTTGAAGGCAAGCACATGGTATGCTTCCATGTAAACAGATTGGGCCTCAGTGCTGAGAGGGGAACTAAACATGGTCTACTGTAAGGAGTATGGGTTTTTCCGCCTGCTGCCACTCTTGTCCTGCCGCCGCGCCAGCCCCAATTAACACACAGAGACTCTGTATTTGATATTATGTTGTTGGCCAGGTGCTAGTTTCTTATCGGCTAGCTCTGTCTTAATTATTAACCCATTTTTATGTATTTCCACGTGATCTTACCCAGAGCGGAGGAATGGCGGTTCTGTTCTCTCCAGGCTCTCCATCCTGACTCCTCTTACTACTTCTTCTTTCCTTCTTGTCTCCTAGTCCCGCCTCTCTTGCTTTCCTATTGGCCAACAGTGCTTTATTCATTAAACCAGTATGAGAAACATATACAGAATGAGATCTCCCATCAGTCTACCACCCCAGGTATCTGCAATTGGTACCCAATGGCAAAATTAGTCTTTTTAAGTGGATCTCACTGACTATATGAAGACATTTGAAGGTATGCTCTATATCCAGGCATTTGATAAACAAAACTAACACAACACTTTATTTGTGCAGGGTTTGTCTCATTCTTATATGCTTTTGTATAAACTGTTTGCCTTGTTAGTCATTTTTTGTGCACTTTGTCTCCAAATTTGTGTTCTCCTCTTTCTCTGTGAATGTGTATGTGTGTGTGTTAATGTGTATCACACACACACACACACACACAGACATAAATAGAGAGAGAGAGAGAGGGAGAGAGAGAGAGAGAGAGATTCACTACATAGCTCACAGTCTTAATATTTAAGAAACCCCTTTGAACCAAGCAACAGATATTTGCTCTTCTGGGTCTGTGTGTGCAGATACCATACCGAGATGCTAGTAAGGATTTCAACTGACTTATTTTTCCATTCACCTCAACCTGATGCAAAAACAAAACCTAATGGATTTTATTAATGATACATTTACCAAATCCAGAGACAATTCTAAATACACGAACACATTGGATATTTATATAGGCAGCTTGTGCTGAGTAAGTTTGTTATTTACTACTGTGTGAGAAACTCAATGAGTAGTCATCTTTGGTATTCCAAACATAGACAAATCTAACATCTCCCTTTCTCTTAATTAGGTACATTCCATGATCAGATATGGCCAATTTGACTTTTAACAGGTATACTTCCTCACTCTGGGACTATTCTCACATTGTACATTTAACTTTGTTCCTCAAGAAAAAAATTTCTGAATTTTGTGGTCTATTTTTGTATAGGCTGTCAAATTTATAGGACCAGGAATTAACTGGGAAAGGAGTGTTGGACACTTTTTAGATAGTGTAGTTATAATAGCTTTAGCTCTGTACATTCCTGTGAGAGAAGTTCAAGTTTGGTGAAACTGAGTTAATAAGAACTACTCAAAGTGATGGCAACACTATTGTTATGGGCTTGGGTCCTGGAATGAATATAATTTAGATATCAAACTAACTGTAAGCACTTATTTTTTTCTGCTTCTAAATGTGAATGTTATGTGACTCACTACATCAGAGACTTCAGTCCATGACTTTCCAGTCAGGATGGACCTTACTTTGAACTGTGAACATATATCTTCCTTCCTTGAGTTGCTATAGTCATATAGTTTATCCCAGCAATGCAGGTAATACCTAACATAGAAAACCAGTACTAAGAAGTAGTGCTATTACTCGGAAAAGTCTGAATGCAGTTTTAGTGTTCTATTGCTATGAAGAGCCACCTTGTCCCATGCCACTATTAGAGGATAAAATATTTAATTGGGGGACTTGCTTGTATCATTAGTGTATAGTCCTCATTATCATAGTGGGTAACATGGTAGCCACTGAGGTTGGTCCAGCAGCTGAGACGTTCACTTTTAGTCACAGGCAGAAAGAGACACTGGGCCTGGTACAGCTTATGAGTTTATGAAACCTCAAAGTCCCCCCAGTGACATTTTTTCCAACAAGACCACACCTCCTAATTCTTCTAATACTTTCAAATGGATTTACTCCCTGTTATTTATAGATATATGGATCTATGCAAGAAATTCTCCATTAAAATTTACCAAATCTATTTCCTGCTTCCAAAAGGACCTTTACAACATAGCTTAATGTGACCACTTTTATAAGTTTGTGAGCTGAGAGTAGCTACATATAGGAGCTATCAAGGACAATCCTATGTGTAGTTAGAATATCAAAATTCTATTGGAAAAATTCATTATCCTGTAATAATTCCATATTTAATGGCTCAGTGGTAGTGTTGCATAAATATTAATGTTTCGTTTTTCCTTCAGAGTTATATGGTATTTGGTTTTTAAGTGTTGTAAAAGTTCATTCTCAGGTTTGATTATCATAGAATTGTCCATGTAGACAAAGCAAGACGGTAGGAGTGATATTACATGAGCTGCAAGCTTCACACTCTTCAGGTTGGGTGATTTTTTTTCTCTTCCTGGTGTTGTAAAGGTTTGTGTCACAAAAGCAGCACTAGGAGTTGAGAAATGGCCTGATAGAGCCCTTATAGACACTGTTCCATCGGTAGTGGTGTTACTGCCTTCAAAGTCAGTGGCTACCAATACAGCCAGATCCAACAACACCTAAGACAGAATTGTGGCTTATGAAGATCTTGAAAACAATTCAGGTGCAGCTCAACTTTTGCCCTTAAAATACCCTCTCAACATCAACAGGTAGACAAGGAAGGAGGTGCCATTATGAGAGGACCATAGCCAAACTTACACAAAAATGTTCCTAAGACCAGAAGGGGGCACTGCAGTCTCACCAATCCCTAAGAAGTGGAGAGCGGTATAAGCATAACAGGAGGTTGTGCACTAAGATTTCAACAGTCTGTGGATTTCACTATCAACACCATTACATTCAGAGCTCATAGTGAAGCTGACATGTGAGATCTCCATGCTCTTAACACCAGAGAGGTTCTTCGATAAACAGACCCAGTGTGTGAACCCACAAAATGCCACTTTGGGTTACTGTTGTCTCTGTATAGGCATGAACCACTTATAAGCATAGATTAAGGATATGTGGGCCTCAGGACCCTGAGAAACATTTTGGTAAAAAGTGTCCCAACACTTGTAAGCTGATAATAGAGGTGTCCATAGCCCTGAGGATCACTCACTGGTGTCCTACACAGCAATGTCCAATGTTCTATGCTAGTGTCTTACTGGGACAGGATGATCTCAGTGGACCGTCTCATCATCACATATATGGTTGATCCTAAGGTGGTTCACATGCTCCTTGAACCATTAAATGGTGGTTCTGCATTAAGGACTTGTATGTGAGGAACTGATTCTTAGAGGCATGGAAGAGATCCATGTGCACAAGTGCCAGATGGAGGAGGAAATTCATTTTATCAAACATATTTGGAATCTATACCTTGCTGCATAACACAGGCATCCTCTTCCTAATATGTCTCAAAGAGGATTAGGTCTTGATCTAAAAGCTACCCTCTCTAATGAATATGTAAATTAGAGTTTCTGGTTGTAAATAAAGGATGGCCATGCCCTACATGCCCTACAGCTCACATTATTGCCCTTTTGCCCCTAGTTCTTGAGCACCCAGGTTTTCAACATGGACTGGAGCTGGATCATGCTCTACCTGGTGTCTGTGGCTACACGTAAGTGGATTTTCAGTCTTAGGCCTGAGGGGGGGTGAGGGAGGGTGAAGTGGCAGTAGCATATACTCTGTTTCTCCTCCACAGGAGTCCATTCTCAGGCTCATCTACAACAGTCTGGGGCTGAACTGAAGGCTCCTGGAGCTTCAGTAAAGGTGACCTGCAAGGATTTTGACTCATACGTCTTCCCCATTGCCTATATGAGTTGGGTGAGGCAGAAGCCTGGACATGGGCTTGAGTGGATTGGAAACATACTCCCAAGCATTGGTAGAACTAACTATGGACAAACGTTTGAGGACAGAGTCACACTGACTTCAGACACAGGATCCAACACAGCCTACATGGAACTGAGAAGCCTGATGTTTGAGGACAGTGCCACCTATTACTGTGCAAGGCACAGTGACACAGCACACATCTAGAGTGTGTCAAAAACTCTGAAGAAAGAGGAAGCTGCTTTGGGGCTAAGATGACAGAGAAGAGTAACCTGAAGACTTGCTCAAAATTTTGTTTAAGTGTTGATGAAAGGAAAAATAGTAATAATGATGCATTCTCCTTGCACAAGAAATGTCCCTAGTCATCCCAAAGGCAAGAATCAGAGAATAGGAAATTTTAATTAGTAAAGTTGATCCATATATTTTTATGCTGCTGTCAATATGAGCATGTGTGTCTATAATTATGTCAATGACTTAGAACAAAAGTGTTTGATCACTTAACAAATCAAACTCTAATACTCAGGAGATCACCATAATTCATGTTGAATTACTACTAACAAGATGAATTCATCATCCCAGATTGCATCAATGAGATCTGAGTAGTAGGTTCACAGGTTAACTATTGAACATTGATTCCTCAGTCATAGTTTTCCCTTGTCTCTACATCCTGCCTTTAATAATAGCCTCTTGCAGAGGCATGACACACAATGACAAAAGATCATCTCCTGGAGTGTTTGCAAAACGTGGTTGCCATAAGTATCAGAACTTCTTGGAAAGTTATTCAGTTTGAGTAAATATATAAGCAAAGATAAATGAGGAGATAAGTGGCACCTGTGATGTCTGGGGTTTTCCATTGGGAAGTGTATCTGAGAACAGTGACTTGTTTTTCCTGTTCCTCCAGCACAGAGCTTTTCTCCATGAGAAATCTGAAAGGTATAAACTGATGGATGTGTGAGTCTTCTTCTCCAACTATATTTAAAATCTATGCATCTGATGCTGAGTTAAAAGTAGCACATGAATTATCTGTGAGTTTACTGAGCACAGTCCTGTGCTGCAAAGTGGGGATTGACCAGCATGTAGAATAATTTTGGTATGCTTCATGAAGAAATGAAAATTATTCTGGGAGTACAGTAATGGCAGTGGTTAATTTGGCTGCAAGACTTTAAATGAAGCTGCTTGGCAATTCTCCTGTAAGAGCCTCATCATCTTATACTACTTACAAGGATTCCAAGATAGTGATGATTCTGGGCAAATATTAAGAAATATTTGGGTACCAATTGGTGAGACATGGCATCATGACTGGAGACTTCTCATGGCACTAGAGATTATAATTATCATATTGCTCTCTTCCTTCTTTGATAACACTGGTCGTTCCAAGAACACCAAGTGTCTGGGATTTCAGAACAGAGTTCATTTTCAGTGAAGAAATGTCTGGTTACTTCTTCACTTGATGAATCTTTGAATTTGTCAAATCCTACTTTTATTTCAACTCTTATACATCCCCTGGGTAAAGCATATAAAGTCTTGTTTGAGTGAAGTCTCTTGGCAGTAAACAGGTACTAACTAGATCCTATATAAGCCTGTGTTTTCCTGAAACCACAGAGCTTCTTAAGAAATTTATGTAATTTTTACAGTTGCCCATTAATATGACAACTATTTCTCAAGAGCATTCTCATAGGATTACATATGATTTGTCATCAGTTATCTCATCCATAAGAAGTGAAGGAATGTGTCTAAGTTGATTAAACTTTCACAGCAATTTCCTGGATTTGTACAGCCTAGGTGTTTCATCAAGAGACATTATCATCTCACAATGCTGACTCATAATGTTACAGAAGAACTGACTGCATAAGTTATCTGTTACCTCTCCCAAATAACTTGCAGAACAGAAACTCCAGACATCCCCAGAAACACATCTAAACTGGTTATTATTTCATCTAAGATATCTGACCAGTGAGAAACCACGATGTTATCATATGTCTGAGAACCAGAATGGGAAGATATAATCCAGGTTTCAGATGCAATTCTATCTGCAAAGAGACTCAGGGATACTGCAAGTGGTACTTAGGACATTCAGTGGTTCAGAAGCATCACATATAGCACAGTTATGGAAGAAACTGTTGGGCATTTATTGTCAGTGAAAGAGGACTCAGGCAGAGAAGTGAGACATTCCACAGAGTAAAGGTTGAATGATGAAGCCTGAAATTAATGTGTGCATGTTTTCAATGAAAACCCTGCACAGTTTGACACACATTGCACAAGTTCAGCACATAGTGTGTCACATTAGGCTACCTTTAGAGATGTGCACACCATCTCTACAGCATCTCACAGACTCCAGAATTTTGTGAATAAATTCCATAGTGAGAGGGGGATATCTTTGTGTATCCACACAGATGAAGCAGACAAAGGCTCCTGTACAATGTTACCCATTAAAGACATCAGCATGACGTCATAATGGACTATAAAGGACATCATTATTATAGACATTACCTAGGCCAGAGCAGAAGAAACTGAAACTCTAGGATCAGCCCATCTAGCACCCGAGGTGTTGCCCAGAGGGTGCTGCCTAATGAACAAAGTACCCAGGAAATTATATCTTTTCTAACCAATGATAGAAGAAAATCCATGCAATTGGCTTGCTCCAGTTGCTTCTCTTTGGTAATGTTAAGCACAAACGATTCATGATCTTGAAGTTAGAACAAAACTTCAGGAATAGCCCGACTTTCTATAGCACAAATATTTGACTTAATATATGCAGTTGCTTCAAATATTTAAGCACACATACACTCATAATCCTGTGAGTGCTCTTTGCCTCTCTCATTGCTTAGAGCACTTTCCAAATGCATCCTTCAATGTGAAAATATTCATCCCTGAAAAACTTTACTAACATTCTCTGTCCAGGTTTAAGAGAACCCTGAACCCTGTTGGTCCTAAATCTTAAAACTCCTCCCTACTACTTCCTGCCTCCTCCTAGTATCCTAGTCCCACCTATCTTGCTTTCCTATTGGCCAACAGTGCTTTATTCATTAACCAGTATGAGAAAGATATTTACAGTATGGCATCTCCCATCAGCTCCTTCTTCTGTCTAAAATAAAAAGAAGGGTTTTAACTTTAATATAGTAAAATATATAATGAAACAGTTATCAAATAAGGACCACAGTTAACAATATTTAGTCCATTAACATTTAGCAAGATTTAAAGAAAATATTTTATCATCTATCCTATCTTTGTGAATCTAAAATCATATTTGTAATTTATATTTAATTCTAAAACTATAACCATAACTATCTGTCTTCAACTCCATCAAAGACCACAGAGACAACTCGCCTAGTCAGTCATATGGAGTTCTTCAGTAATCTTCCATCTTTAGCCCATAGGCCATAATGTATCTAGCATATTCCTCAGCGAACCAGGAAACTTTAAACTGTCCACCTGTATTAGCAGCTTGTCAGTCACTTTTCTCTGTGTCCTGCAGACTTTCTGGCAGACTCTTCCATGAAGCAGGAACCCTGTAGCAATGCCCATCTTGAATCAGCAGTCACTTTCCTGTGGGTCTTGCGTGTCCAATTCATACAGCATAAAGTCAAACAGTCCAGACAAGAGCAGTATTTTTCCCAAATGGCTGGTCTTTCCATATTGAAAGCAAGCTCCATAACGAGTTTCTTTAATGCCTATCTTCCTTTCTGATGTAGGTGGTGTTGCCAGGAGCAGTTGTGCCTCACTGCCAAGGAAAATCCTAAACCATTTTAAATGCCATAGTCTGTATGTCTTTGAAAGGTTTAAAGGATGTGTATTCATCTCAAATACATCTCTGTATATCTAGAAATCCTAATTAACAAGTTTTGACAATTATAGGTTACTACCTATAATCTATAATAAATTATACAATACCTACAGAAGAGGAGAAATAGACCTTTAATTTTTATCAATAAATGAAAATCCATTCCTAAAAAAGTATTCATATCTACACTATAATCCCCTTTTAACCTTTAAAGAGAGTGGTTGTGGTCATTAACCATTTATAACTAATCTCATTTAAATTAAAACAAACATTTATAGACAATATTTGGGAATTTTCCCATCATTCTTTCCAAACTGCTTCATGCTGGTAGGGTGCGCTTTCATGGGGATTCTAAGAAAATGCAGAAATCCTGGCTGTAGTGGTCTGCAAAGCTGCCTTGTCCAAGCTGATTTGAATGGTGGATAACCTGGGACATTGCCTTAGGAGATCTTGCTTGATCAAACCATGGTAGTCTTGAAGGGATCCACATCTTTTCATTTTCTGTGGACACAAAAATAGAAATTCTTTTCTCCAGTAACCTGTCCTTGAACTTAAATTTTGGAATCAAAGCATTTTAAAATATATAAATTTGAATAATTTATCTGTATTGATAGTCAATTGTATTGTAGCAATTATTTCTTCCTTAGTAACTGAGCAAATTAATGACAATATTATAGCATACAGTAGCCAAACTCTTTGTGTGCTTTCCATCTTCACATGGCTTGTTTTATTAATTACTTTATTTCTTTTGCGTTATTTATTTATTGTTTTCACAGGGTTCCTCTGTGTAACTTTTACCTGTCCTGGAATTAACTCATCATACCAGGTTTACATTGAAATCGTAGAGTTCTGCTTGACTCTGCCTCCTGAGTACTGGAATTATAGGCATGTGCCACCACACTGAGCTACTCTTTTTCTTTTATTATTCTTTTTAAAACCATTTTATCCTGTTTCTTTTTCTTTCCCAAGCCTACGTAAATTTTAGAACACACTGAAATTTTAAAGGTTTTTCTTAATCTGAATATTTCTTAACTGTAAATCTTTATTTTTTTTTCTGGCCACAAGTCTTTTATCTGGTAAACAATATTAGTCAAATGAAGGCCATACCTGCATTAGCCACAGTCTATCAAAGATGGCAGCATTTACCTTTACCACCACAACTGAGAATTATGCTCACTGCCATGGTCTATCATCCATCACCATGTTGGAATGTGGTTACTGCTATTACCAGCTCTTGTACATACCATTCAGTTGTTAGCAAAGTTTTTTTTTTAAAGACTTGCCATTTTTTGCTGCTCATGATGAGTCAGGAAACCTCCCTTAAAAGAGCCTCTCAAATTTCTGCTTGTCTCTAGAAAAACAGAGTCTCATAAAGAAAAATGTTCCTAACAAGAAGCCTTGCTTGTCTTTGTTCTTTCGTTGTTAA